AAAAAAAAAAAAAAAAAAAAAAAGAAGGAATTCTGCCAGCATACTGCCTCTGCATCTGAACTGCAATTCTTCCTTAAATTTCCAGCTTGCTGGTCTACCCCAATGGATTATTTTTATCTATCTTTTTGATTGGCAAAACCTGCACGATTACATGATCCAATTCCTTAAGCCAATCTAACTCTATCAATCTATCTCTCTCTCTATATATATACACACACACACACAGTGGGTGTGTTGACTGTTTCTCTGGAGAATTCTGACTAGTAACTATCCAAAAGAAAACAAGACTTTGCCTTGAAATTTATTTAAAAGGCATATGGTTTATTTGAAGACCAACAATCAATAATATTAACTAAATCAACAAACAGTCTAAGAAAAGCTAATAAATTCCTGATGTGGAGACTTCCTAGTTCTTTACCACACAGTTTCATTTAATTTTCCAAGAGACTGGTAAGAGACACTGCTTTATCCAAATAAGAGAAAATGACTTGTTCAAAAAAAAAAAACTGCTTGAGACTAAAAGCCAAGATGAAATATTAAAATATTTATTAGCATCTCTGAAGATGTACAGTAGGTTAGCACATACATAGACACACACAAATATGTACAGGGCAACTTTCCCTAGAAAATTCATAAAGAATAAAATTAAGGTATAATTGACTATCCTTTATAATTTATTACTGATCTTGAATCGTTATTTGCATTGCTTTCCCAATTTCTCCTAGGAAATCAGAAGTACCACGGTAAAAAATAACAAATAGATTTGGTCTTTGTTCCTGGTTCCCCACACAAAGCTCCTAGAACCCCTGGGATTTCCTGAGTGGTAGGAGTGTCTTTTGCCCTTCTTAAGGAGCCCCCTTTGAGCATACCTAAATTTATGCAAATGGGGTGACATAGGGTAGGATCCCTAAATAGCCTCAGACTGGGGCTGGTCACCAGGAAGACCAAGTGTTTAAGGGACTGGAACTTTCAACCGCACAGACCTGTGAGAAAGGGAAGAGGGGGCTACAAATTAAGCTCTATAGTCTCTTGAACAAGATCTGATGAGCTTCTGGGTTGGTGAACATGCCAGGAGGGGGGCCAAATCCATGGGGACAGAAGCTCCTGGCCTCGGGACCCTTCCAGATGAACTTCTCCACCTGGCTGTTCTTCTGTGACCTCTATATATCCTTTATAATAAAATGGTAAAAATAAGCAAATGTTTCTCTGTTCTGTGAGCCACTCTAACAAACCAGGAACCCAAGGAGGAGGGTGTGGGAACTTCCAATTTATAGCCAGTTGGTCAGAAGCACAGGTAACATCCCAGACTTGTGATTGGCAGCTGAAGTGGGGGGCAGTCTTATAGGACTGAATCCTTAACCTGTGGGGCCTGATGCTATCTCCAGACAGTGTCAGGATTGAATTAAATTTGTCAGACACCCAGGCAGTGTCTGCTGAGACCTGGAGAACTGCTGGGTGATGTTAGGAAAACAACATCAGAAGCACTGAGACCTCAAGAAGCAGTGACCTGACCGAACGAATTTCTTCGCATCAAAGAATCAAAATGCTAATTACTGGGGTTTATAAAGACTCCCATTGATGATGTTAGCACCACAAGAGGGCCTATGTCAAAACAACCTTAGCTGGAATTCATCTTTTTGTTGTTGTACATGAAAGGAAAGGAGGATAAAGAGGAGAGGACTAACAAGTGGCAGGTGGAGACAGAGGCATGCACATTTAACAGGGAACCTAATAGATTTATTTCAGTTGATCATCTGCAGCTGTCGTTATATCACTTTACAAGTCCTCCACATCTATCTACAGTAGTGGGTCTCAAAGTATGGTCCCCAGTTCAATAACATCGATACCACCAGGAAATCTGCTCAAAACGCACATTCTCGGTTGCTACCTCAGACTTACTGAATCATTCTCTGGGGAAGGAATCTCTACTTTAATGCACGATTCTGATGCACACTAAAGCTTGAGAACAAGCAATCCCCAGTAGAATCAAATACTTTGAACTCTGAGACACAACTAGATCAGGAAATTCTAGAAACTGAGTGGCAGAATTCTGCACATCACTGTGGATCATGTGGAGGAAATCTGATTAATATTAACCCTCCTTTTTCGTAAGGCATTTATTCAAAAATGCTTTCCCAATACCAACTGATATTACTTAAAAATTTTCCAGTGTTCTAAAATTTTCAGTCCATTCACAAGGCTGCTTTGTACCCAACAAGACAGAACAATAGCCAAAGTTTTTAGAAAGAATGAGGATATATTCCCAGGCAAAACTTACAGGCTGAGTGTACCATATTATAAATAGCTAAGCTTTGAATTAAGTTTTTTAATTCTCCCGTCATATAAGATATAAAGTTATTAGTAAAAACTAAAAAGGCCAAAATATATATAATATTTCTACAAAGTTTTTACTTTCCTATATGAGAACTGCCAGGAAGGACAAAATCCTGCCAAAGGAGGCAATTCCTCTGCCAATTTAATTCAGACTATTAGCATCCGTTTGTAGAGGGACAATAAATACCTCTAAACTGCTTCATCACGTTCTGATGGTTTTCAATGGCTTCCTTTAAGATCATTTCAGCCTGGTCCATCTTCCACCGCCATTCAGTACCCACTGGATTGGTGTGGTGCCTAGAAAAAAGAGGCAGAAGTTCTAAAGGACTCCCTGCATTAAATCTCAGCTAGTTACCTCCTATGAGGGAGTCCATATAATTATAAAATCAGGGTTGGTTTCCTACAAAAAGCTCAGCTATTTATGGCTGTAGTTTACAACTTATTTTGAGTCATGACACCTAGCAGAGAGGGGTAGATGGCAAGTGCCTGGCCAAGACTGAGACTTACTCAGGACAATATAAAACATGCACCCCTCTCGCAGCCATATAACACCAGACCAACAAGCATCCAGTAACGACCACCAGTAGAATATTGTTGCAAGACCCTCTCTGAGAGGCAGTGCAATGGTAAGACCTAATTGAAATCCCAGAAAGGAACAAAGCAGAAAAAAATGTAGAAAAATTATGGCCAACAATTTTCCAAAGTTAATGAGAAACAATTAACCACAGATCGAAGAAACTCGCACAACAACAACCAGTGTATTTTAAAAACAGCCTAGGGCTTCCCTGGTGGCACGGTGGTTGAGAGTCCGCCTGCCGATGCAGGGGACATGGGTTCATGCCCCGGTCCGGGAAGATCCCACATGCCGCGGAGTGGCTGGGCCCATGAGCCATGGCCACTGGGCCCGCACGTCCGGAGCCTGTGCTCTGCAACGGGAGAGGCCACAGCAGTGAGAGGCCCACGTACCGCAAAAAAAAAAAAAAAACAGCCTAAAAATACGGTATCTAAACTAATGAAAACAAAAGAAAATAAGAAAACCTTCAACTTAGAGAAAAAGGACGCACTACTTAAGAACAAAGGTTAAAAATTATTTCTGACAACTCATCAGAAAACAAATAAGCCAGATGAAACTATAATGACACCTGAAAGAATGCTTAAAGGAAACAAACTTGTCAACTCAGAATTCTATACCCAGTGCAAATATCTTTCCAAAAATGGAGTAATAAAGACTTTTGCAGGACTTCTCTGGTGGCTCAGTGGTTAAGAAGCCGCCTCCCAATGCAGGGGACACAGGTCAAGCCCTGGTCCGGGAAGATCCCACATGCCGTGGAGCAACTAAGCCCATGTACCACAAGTACTGAGCCTGCGCTCTAGAGCCCATGCGCCACAACTACTGAACCAGCGCTCTAGAGCCTGCAAGCCACAACTACTAAGCCCGCGTGCCACAACTACTGAAGCCCACGCACCTAGAGTCCATGCTCCACAACAAGAGAAGCCACCACAATGAGAAGCCCACACACCGCAACAAAGAGTAGCCCCAACTCACTGCAGCTAGAGAAAGCCCGCATGCAGCAACGAAGACCCAATGCAGCATCTTTAAAAAGAAAAAAAAATTGGCAAGCCCCTGATAAAACTGATCAAGAAAAAAAACAACAAATGCATAAATATAATATTAGGAATGAAAAAGGGGACTAATTACAGAAACAGAGCTTTAGGTAAATCTGAGTACAGTGTTGGGCAGAAATTGATTATTACAGATCATTACATATTTGGTCACCATGGCCATTCATTTTTACTTACCGCCAACAGAAGACACATTTATTTGCACACGCCAAGCTCGGGGTAGTTTCCATGCAACGATGGCTTTCAATGCCATAGAACGTATGTTTATAGCAACCTCCTCTCCCTCGGAGCATGGACTGTGAAAGTACAAAACAAACGATAATTTGAATAAAGTCCTCACAGCAAGGAAACAAAACACCAAGGCATCATTTTAAAGAAGAAACCATGTGTTTCATAAGCATAAATACCCCTACTGGTAGCTGCATGAGGCAGAAAATTAACATTAAAGCCTTATAGTGTTTTGATGGTGTTTGGGTTTTGATACTGCTCTGGGTTTTCTACAACCTAATGAGATAAATCTATGATTCATTAACTCTGAAAGTTCTATAGGGAGAACCATGGATGCTTTCATTTTCAAATCCACCCAACTGCCTCAAATATTAGTACAATAATATATAATGCCAAAGGAGAGATAAGACAGGCTCCCAGAATGGGGGGGGGGGCGGTGTAGCGCTCATCTGAAAGAGTATCTCTGCATTTAATAAAAGAGGGTGGGTTAGGGAATGCAACCTGGAGCATATTCTATGTCAACCGAATGGTAGAATTTGAATATACTGAGACTGTTGAGGGGGCAAACAGCATGTACACAAGAAACAGATTATTCCAAAAAAGAACACTATTTAATACGTGATTGGTAAAACCACGGGAAGTGCAGTAAGAAAGGTAATTTGAAGAAACACTGCAGATCAACTCAGGGTTCGAATCACAAGATACTATCAAGCTTCCTGAGGTATCATCAGAAAGATCCATCTAGGAGCTCTGTGCAAGATGGGCTTGATTCAGTAAAAGTGAAACCTGTGAGGAGGTTATGCAAGAAAGGTCATGGTGACTTGGCTCAAAACATTAGTGGAGGAAACAGGAAGGGTACCTCAGAGGTACAATCAGTGCCATTCCCAATTAGAGGGGCAAAACAGAGGAAGTCATCCAAGATAACTGAGGTTTTGAGCCTAAGTGACTGACATACCATGGAACTAACAATGGGAACGACAAACGAGGAGACATAGATGGAGAGCCTTTACACATATATATCAGTGTATAATATACATCAGTGTACTGATATTACAATGCTGTCCACATAAAATCTACCAGCTTGTTACTATGACAGTTGATCACAAAGTCTTATTTTTTGGTCCTGATAAAAGGGGTTCCCCTGTCCATCTCACTTAGTACTTACACTAAGAAAAATAGAGTGAAGGAAAAATATTGTTCAGGATAACTGTTTCTACAAATTCTCTTCCAAGTTCCCTATAAGGCAAACAAAGAAGGCAAACAAAATATTTATATCTTGCAAGTAGCACTGAAAACTTGCAAGTAACACTGAAAACTACAAAGTCCACCACGGTGCAAAAGTCACAGAGTAATTACCACTAAATATCAATATCAGCCAATGGAGAAACCAAGTTGAAGACTTGCATGTTTCTCTAATTATTTAGCAATTAGTTAATGTACTTCAAGCATGCTGTGTACTGAATGTACAATGACTAATAAGACAGAGCCCCTACCCATGATCTGTGTGGAGGAAATGGCAAGTAAGCAAGAAAAATGTGCAATACTATTATGATAGTCTGATTGAATCAATTACGATTCTTTTGTAAGCAACAGAAACGGAGTCTGGCTAAAGAGAAAAAGCATTTATTGAAAGGATTTCACAGCTCATAGACCCATTATAAAGGCAAGAACGAGGGAAGGCTGGCAGCAGGACCACCACTCAATCCCCCAGAAGCCAAATACTACAGACACCACCCCTCTCTGGATACCATCACCAGCACCACCCCTGAATGGCAGATGCTGCTGCCACCAGCACAAGAATGAGTTCTCCATGTCCCAGTCCCTTTCCATCACCCACTCCACACTCAAAGTCTCCGGCTGAAAAGAATGACTATCCTAGATGACACTTTTATACCCAAGTTGCCACGACGTGGTACCAGGAAACAGTATGTCTTCCTTACCTTCTGTAGCAGGCAGTGGGCCCTCACATCAAACAAAGCCCGTTTAATGGGAAATTCCCCAAACATGAAAACACTCAGATGCTGGGCAAGCAGAGAAAAGACAAATGTCCAGCATGGTATTACTGGAGCGCATGGGACAGATGACCAACCAGGCTCAGCCTTCCAGGACCAGTGAGAACTCCTCAGAGGTGAGATGTCCAAACTGAATACTGAAAGGCTAAAAGGATAAAGGGACAGACACATGTGAGGAGGGCATGTTTTTCTTTTAAAAACTGTTTTCTGGGCTTCCCTGGTGGCGCAGTGGCTGAGAGTCCGCCTGCCGATGCAGGGGACATGGGTTCGTGCCCCAGTCTGGGAAGATCCCACATGCCATGGAGCAGCTGGGCCCGTGAGCCATGGCCGCTGAGCCTGCGCATCCAGAGCCTGTGCTCCGCAACGGGAGAGGCCACAACGGTGAGAGGCCCACGTATCGCCAAAAAAAAAACTGTTTTCTGTAAGTTTTACACTTTAGATTTAAGGTCCTGATCCATTTTGAGTTAATTTTTAACTCAAAATATATGTTTGTGTGTGTGTATGTGTCAGTGTGTGTACTTTTGGTGTATGTGGTTTGGTGGTGGTGGGTTTATTTTGGTTTTTTGCCTATGGATGTCTAATTTCCCCAGCACCATTAGTTGGAAAGGTTATCCTTCCTCCAAGGAATTGCTTTTGAACCTTTGTAAAAAATCAATTAAGCATATTTGTGGGTTTGTTTCTGAGATCTCCATTCTGTCCCATTGATCTGTGTCCGTCCCTCCACCAACACCATACCGTCTTGATTACTGTAGCAATACAGTAAGCTGCAATATCTGGATATATGGTTCCTCCCCTTTTATTCTTCCTCAATATTGTTTAAGCTATTTTACATTCCTGTGCCTTTCCTTTCAAATTTTATAATAAGTTGTCTATTTCTACAAAAACCTTCCTGGGATTTTAATAGGAATTGCATTAAACCCACAGATCAATTCGGGCAAAACTGATGTTTTACAATAGTGAGTCTTTCAATCCATGAACATTTATTTCAATTTACATTTAAATTTTTATTTACGTTTACTTAGATTTTCATTGGTTTCTGATTTGAGATCTTTCCTCATTTCTAATATAAGTATGCATTGCTGGAAATTTCTCCCTGAGCACTGCTTGAGCTGCATCCTATACATCGATATAATTTTTTTTTTTTACTATCATTCAGTTCTATGTATTTTTTCATTTCCTTTGAGACTTCCTCTTTGACCCAAGGCTTATTCAGAAATGTGTGTTTAATTTCCACATATTTAGAGATTTTCCTTTTGTTTCTATTATTGATTTCTAGTTTAATTCCATTATGGTCAGAGAATGCACTCTGTATGCTTTTAATACTTATAAATCTGCTGAGGTTTGTTCTATGGCCTAAGACATAGTCTATCTTGGTGAATGTTCCATCGGCACTTGGAAGAAATGCATATTCTCCTGTTGCTGGGTGGTATGTTCTCTATATGTCAACTAGATCCTACTGGTTAACTCTACTGTTGAGATTTTCTAGAGCCTTGTGATTTTCAGTCTAGTACTTCTAGCAGTTGCTGAGAGGCAATTTCCAAGTGACCAACTGTAACTGTGGGTTTGGTTTCTTTTGTTTTTTTTCTAATTTCTCCATTCAACTATGTCAGCTTTTGCTTGATTTATTTTGAGCCTCTGATGTTTGGTACATATTCATATAATGTAGATTGATCTTTTTATCATTACAAAATGTCACTCTCTGTCTCTAGTAATTTTCTTTGCTCTGAAGTCTACTTAACCTGGTATTAATACAGGCAATCCTGCTTTTTGGATTACTGTTGGCATGGTATATATTTTTCTATCATTTTACTCAACCTACCTGTGTCACTGAATTTGAAGTGAGTTTCTTGTAAACATCTTATATTTGGGTCATTTTTTAAATCCACTCTGCCAACCTCTATCATTTGATGGATATATGTAGAATATTTACATCTGAAGTAATTATTTATGAATTAGCCCTAAAATAGTCTACTATTTTATTATTTGTTTCCTGCTTATTCCCTCTGATTCTCATTCCTATTAGTCTTTTCTTGATTTCCTACAGGTTACTTAAACATTTTTAGGATTCCATCTTAATTTTATTTTGTTTTTGAGTGTATCTCTTTGTATAGTTTTTGTAGTGGTTGTTCTGGGTATAAAAATATACATACCAGTAGACCTATGACAGTCTACCAGTAAAAACATTTTACCACCTTCAAGTGAAATGTGGAAACATCCCTTCCATTCAGATCTCTTTAATTTTCCCTCTTTTAAATTAAATATTATTGTCTTGAGTATCAAATGGTATTATAATTTTTGTTTCAATCATCAAATATGATTTATAAAAGTTATAAGGAAAATGATCATTTACTGTTTGTACCCATATTTCTGCTCTTTCCATCATTCTGCCTTCCTTTCTGGTGCTCTAAGAATCTTTTATCACTTCATTAGGTTGAAGAGCTTCCTTTGGCTGGTCTTTAAGAGAAGATTTGCTAGAAACAGATTCTTTCCGTTTTCTTTCACCTGATAATGTCTTTATTTAATCTTCATTCTTGAAGGATAGTTTTGCCAGTCACAGAAATCATGATTGACAGTTATTTTCTTTCAACACTTGAAAACCATATGCTGCTTCCCTCTGGCCTCCATGATTTCAAATGAGAAATCTGACATCGAATTGATGTTAGTTCATTGTTTATCTCTAGCATCTTTCAAGACGTTTTTCTTCTTTAGTTTTCAGATCATTAATTTTAGGGTATCTCCATGTGGATGTCCTTGGTTCGATCCTGTTTGGAGTTTGCTCTCTCTGCTGTTCAGATTGGGTAAATTCTATTGACTTGTCCCGGTCACAGATCATTCTGTTATTTGGTAAGGTCCCTGACTCTATCCTCTGTCATCTCCACTCTATTACTGTGCCCAATCAGTGAGTTTTTATTTCTGTTATTGTATTTTTTCAATTTTATAATTCCTTCTTGGTTCCTTTTATAACTTCCATTTCTTTGCTGAGATTTTTTATTCTTTCATTTGTTTCAAGAGACTTTGTAACTGATTGCTGAAGCATTTTTATGACAGCTGCTTTA